AAAGGTCCTCCGGCAGACGATTTTTAAATATCCCAAAGTTTGTTTGTTTTGTTTTTTTCCCCGGTACCGGGGATCGAACTCAGGACCTTGCGCGGCAGGCAGCGGAACCACGGAGCTACCTCCCTGGCCCAATCCCAACCCAAGTGTTGACAGCCTGGTCTCGACCTTCAGCACCAGTGACTCCCCATAAGGCAGAAAGGCTCAGTACTCCCATACCTGGCTAGCACGTAGGGACACCCCGCGGGTTCCCTTAAGCGGCAGCCCTGCCCTCCCACCAGCGGGGCACGAAGGGCCAAGGCTGCCGGGCCCGCCAGGGGTGTGAGCTGGCCAGCGGCCACCAGAGGAGGGGCGGAAGGTTGCGCGCGGACGGCGCTTTCCCCCTCCGCCCTGGCAGCCGCCGCAGCGCGACGGGCATGGCAGAGATGCGGCCCGGGCCCGTGACTGGGCTGCGGCTCAATGCCCTGCCGGATCACTCGCCGCTGCTGCAGCCCGGCCTGGCCGAACTCAGGCGCCGGGCCAGGGAGGCGGGCGTCCCGCTAGCGCCGCGGCCGCTCACAGACGCCTTCTTGCTGCGGTTCTTGCGCGCCCGGGATTTCGACCTGAACCTGGCCTGGCGGGTGAGCGTGCGGGGAGGTACAGGGCGGAGGGTGCGCCCGGACGCACCGCGTGGGTGCTGCGGCTGTGAAGTGCTCGCTGACACCGGTTCTCCCAGTCTCTCGGGGTCAGTGGAGGCGGTAAGCCTAGAAAAGTGCCAGCCCATCTGATCAAAAGCACCGGGACCAGCCCTAGATAAGCCTTGCACCCTGCATACTTTGGGCGGCGGGAAGTAATCGCCTTCGTCTCGCGGTGGAAAAGCTGTGTTATTAAACAGAGTCACAGTAAAAACATCAGGCAGCTCGTTCGTGTCGCAACTGAGCAGATAACTTGCGGGGAAAATGAAATTACTGGTAACACTGAAGATCTGAAGCCACACCCTAGCAAAATAGTATTATTAATAGTAATTCTTAAATATGAAGACAGTTAAACAACCACAGATATTTTGAAAACAGAGGATGGATGAGGTGTTCCTTTCGTATTCCCAAGTGTTACCGCTGGGTGATAAGGGAGGGTGGAAAGACAGGAATCAGAGACATGCGACCTTGAGCTTGGCCCTAGGGATCCAGTGTCCTTATCTGGTCAATAACGGTGAGGTGAGGACGCTCACTTTGCTGATTGTTCTCGAGGACTGAACATTAACCAATTTAATGGTTAGAACAAGATGTGCCCAGCACAGTGCCTGCAACACAATATGCGCTCCTCAGTTGGACCAGATCTGGCCCTCTCGCGGTGCTTTACTCCATCTCACTGCTGAGTGACAAAAAAGGTATTATAGCACAAAATTCCGGTCTCGGTATAGGTTTTTTAAAACTAATTTTTATTGAGAAAACAACGAGCATGGTAAAAATAATTCACATAATGCAAAACAGTAAAAAAAGAAAAAAGGGGGGGCGGTGTTGGTGGCACTAGGGATCAAGATTATCTAAAGGAAAGGAATTCCCTGCCCCAAACCTCAGCTTGCCAGCCATGTACCCAGAGGCCATGCCTCTGTTTCTTGTTTATCTTTCCAGCCATAATGTGTGCTGTATGTTTCACATTTTGACTTTCTTACTTATTATTTAGATCATCTTATATCAGAATGTACACATAGATCTCATTCTGTATTGGACATAGGGACCGTCCAGCTAATGGCAATGTTGCCATGCACACTGTTGCTGTTGATTCCTGCATTCAGTGAGCAGAATATGCATGTTTGTAGTTAGCCCAGTAGTACACAAAATGCAATAAACATGGCAGCTGTGGTTTCTCCCATTACTGACTATACCTTCATATGTCTTCACACTTCATCTTTATTCTATATCAGTCCCTGCTTTTTGATTCTGTAAGCTCTTCTGTCCAAAATTTTCTCTAGAAATGGATGGTTTCTCTTTTGTAGATTGATGTCATTGTTCTATTGTGATTTTTTTTCAGTACTAGGAACTGAATCAACAGACTTGTTATTATTATTGTTATTATTTTTAAATAAGGTATTGCTAAATTGACCAGGCTGGGCTTGAACTTGTGATCTTCTTGCCTTAGCCTCCTAGAGTGATGCATGCACTACCTCTCCAGTTTTATTGGGATTTCTTTTGATGTTAGGATTAAAATAAGAACACAGCTTTATCTATTTTCCTTATGATATATGATTATGCAAGTGTCCCATCATCATGAGTAATAAACTAACATGTATTCAGCAGCTACTGAACATCTAGTTTCAGGTTTTATGAAGAATGCAGTTTAAACAAAGCATATATACAAGGTGTGATCAAAATATACAATGAATTTTATATTTAAAATTCTATTACTGTAAAAGACCCATACACATCACTATTAATCCTCTTCAGAATACTTTCACTTAAAGTATACTTATCCTGTTGTTCTTGTCACTATCTGGAGCCATTCTAGAGATCCTCTGTTGTGAGTGTCTTTATGAGGTGATAAAAATTTCACTGAATGCTGCTGCTGAGTGCTATCCAACAGAAAGGCAGGTTTATAAAAAAATCATGGTACGTCCTAATTCATTTTATATACTGGATCTGGTACAGTGCAACTTCTGGCTCGCCCAAGTCAATATAATCATGAAAGGTAAACATTGTGAGTCAATTCAGAACATCGAGGCTACCATGACAGTGCAATTAAACACACGCCACAAAGAGGACTTTCAGAACTGCTTCAGAAAGTGTCAAGAATGATGGGAAAGGTATATTAAAGGTAGTATTTTGAGGTGGGGGGATGGCAATGTGTCTTTTGCTGTAATTTAAAAAAATTTACTCTGCCCGCCTCACAAGCAAAAGGTCCCGAGTTCGATCCCTGGTACTGAAAAAAAACATTAAACATTTATTGTAGTTTTCAGTCACTAGTGGTGACTAGTTGTAAAAACTCTATGATTTGCTAATTTTAGTTAGCCACCTTCAGAAAAGTAATATATAAGTAAAAAAATTTACTTGCAGACTTTATGATATATATGTGATATATCACATATATTTGTGATATATATCATATCATATGTATTTGTATTCTTTCAGTTACTGAACGGTTCTTTTACACAATGCCCTTGAGGAATTGGCTAGGACTATGTCTAAGTCCATTGGATAGAAATCAAGTTTCTGCCTGTGACCTCTTTGTCTTACTTTTCTGCCAACTGGAAAGAAAAGAGAAAAGGCTAAAAGTGTGAAATTGGCTTTTTTATTTTCCTCTACAGGGGCAGTTAATTCAATTCAAACTTTCTTATCCATAATTTATAAACTATATACTTTTTGTGTTATTCATTAATTTTATTGGTACATTTTAGGTATACAAATGCTGACATTCATTACTGGGAATTTGTACCTTTACGTGATGTATCTTGGTTCTTTTTTCCCCATTCCCCTGCCCTCCCTTCACCCCCTCCAACCCCTCCTTTTTTACAAAGACTTTATTTTCATTTTTCCTTTTCTCATATTTATTCCTTTCCCTTCTTTCCTTTCCCCTACCTCTCCCACTTCCCCTTTGATAAGTACCTCAGTTATGATGGTACCTCAGTTTCCTCATTATTTTAGTATCTGTATTTGAAGCTAAAATGCATCGACAAAAGACTTTTAATCCTAATATATAACATGCATATAAAGTGCCAAGCACTTTGGTAAATAGTGTTTTCATGGATTATCTCATTATTGTTTTCATTTTAGAAGGAATTAAGATATAGAGTAACTTATCAAAAACGATATAGCTGTTAAATGGTGGAACAGGGATTTGAACTAGGGTGGAGCTCAAGAGAGCCTGTGCTGTCAGATGTGGTGCAGTGGCCCCTTCAGTTCACAACAATGAACCTGAAAACAACCATCAGCTCCTCTCTGTCTTCTATGTGTTCTTATGGATTCCTGCCTTTTACAGGTAAATCGTCTGGTTCCTTATGTTTCTATTTTATCTTGCAGTAATTTGAATATGGATTGACCTCTTCAAATCTGGTGTGTCCAGTGTAGTTGCCCTCTGAGGTATTAAAAGGGTAGAAACTTAGTCTACCCTCTTTTTTTCTTTTGGTTTGGAAGTGGGACTGTTGCAAGGATATTAAGACTATATAAATATAAGGTTATCAGACCAGGACCTTCATGATTAGTGGTAAAGAGCAAAATAAAAAGAAAGATGATAGGAAACAGGAGATAGACTTTGGAGAGATGGGAAGGGGATCTGGGGATAGGGGGATAGGAAAAGAGGGGGAGCAAAGGAAGTAGGAAGGATCAAGATGCAATATGTACATGTACCAGTACCCCACCATGAGTATATTTATTACATATCACAGACATGCACTAACAATTTATTAAGAGGTGGACAGACATAACCAACACATTTCCTGTCTCTCCTATGATACCCTGTGCCACTTGGGAGCACCAGCAAGAAGCTAATCAGCAGAACTGTGAGCTAAAATAAATCTCTTTTCTTTGTAACTTACACAATCTGGGGTATTTCGTTATTAACAGCAACAACAACAGCAACAAAAGTATGACACATGAAGTTTTTCATCCTTTAATTATCTTTATGGTTTTCTTGAAAGATTGTGAACCTTTCAAAATTCCATGGACTCTCTCTGATAACTTCCATCTAACTGTATTTTATTTTGTACAGTTTACCATATCACACATCAGTTTCAGTCTTCATTCTGCTCTTGATAGGTATTACCCTGAACAAGTATGTAATTTTTCAGTTTTATTTGTCTTACCCACATGAGGGGAGTAACCATAGTTACTTCTTATGGTAGTGGTGAGAAGAAATTGAAATGCTGCATTATACTCTACAAAAGTGGCCCAAATCTGATTATTTTGTTTGAAAACAAATGAAAAACTTGAGAAGAAACTGTTACAAAACTATCAAAGAATAATATTTTAAGTATTTATTTTTAACTTTTGTACAAAATAGGCACTTTCCAATAATAAATATTCATGTGCAGCCAATTTTTTTTGTTGCTGTTGTAGACATAGGGTGGTCTTAATTTTATCATTTATATGATGTATTTACATCAACTGGACTTGTGAATCCACTGGAAAAGTAATGACCAAAAATCTGGGTTTAGGTCTTTTACTTTGCAAAATTTAGGGGTCAGAAATGTGAAAGCACATTGTACATATTTACAGAAGGAACCGTGTAGACCCACAGTTGATTTACTTATGCATTAATTTATTCTCATTCACCACATGCATCTACTTCCTGGGAGCCCAGCAAGCTGCAGAGAGGAATCAGCTGAGCACCCTGCCTCTGTTATCTGAAAGATTCCTTCTAATGAAGCCACAGCTTTTATCATTCCACAGGAAAATAAGACAATTATTTCTATAATGTTGCTAATGTGCTGCTTCCAGCATTTTGCTTGAATCTGAATTAAAAGCCCTCCTTTTATGTCTAAGGAGACTATAAAAAATGAACATTGTAAAATGCATTGACACTTATTCTGATGCCCCCTAGGACAGGATGAGGAGGGAAAATTCAACTTATAGAACAGAATGAATATAACAGAATCTACAATGTGCCTATTGTTCTTGCTGCCTTAGGAAATGTTATTTAGGTCACCAAATATTTCTCTGTTGGCACATTTTCTTTTTTTTCTTTCTTACCTCTCTTTTGCATTTAACTCTTAGCCTTATCCTCTTTTTTTAGAACTTGAAGAAGAGTTTATAAAATGCAGAGATGAAAGCGAGGGAGAGAGAGACAGAGACAGACAGATGATTTCTTTTGGACACCATGGTGGGGCTTCTCTCATAGTCCCAGCAGCTTCTCTTTCCCCCCCAACCATTCCAGCCAGTGACATTTTCCAATGCTCAGAATTTCACCTTCGACTTCTGGTATTATTTTCTTCTCTAGATCATTACTAATTTATTTTTAATAAAGTTATGTTTATTCTAAATACTTTCAAATATAAAATCTGTCCTTTCCTTTCATCTGAACTATGGTTCTGTTTCTCATAGATTTCTGTAAAATTGAAACAAATATATTGTGATTTTGGAAAAATTGAGATATATATATTTTAAATATGTCTCTCTCTCTCTCTATATATATATTTCTGTGGAGCTCAGGATTGAACACTTGGCCTCATGAATACTAAAATATAATTTTCTTTGGCGGTGCTCAGAATAGAAACTAGGCTAGGGTCTCATGTATGCTAGTGTTCTACTATACCCCAATTCTAAAGTATAATAATTTTTAAACATCATTTGCTTTAGCATTCTCTACGATGTGCTACCAATGCCTGAATTATTTGCATATGTTGATTAGTCAGTTCTGGTTCTTTTAGATAAAAATCATATTTTGGCAATATCTCTTGTCTAAGGTTTTAGAGCCTCTCCTAAATAAATCCATTCATTTCTGTTCTTCCACATTTAATAAAAACATTAAAGGGAGTGTTTCAGTCATTTATTGCTGAGTAACAAATCATTCCAAAACTTATTAATTTAAAGCACAGCACTTTGGGTTCTCCAGTTTGGGCAGGGCTCGTTGGGATAGTTCATCTCTGCTCTACATGGCATCAAGTGGGAACTTGGCTGAGTTCAGACTTTCTAGGATGATTTCTCAATGCCCAGGGCTTCTCTCCACATGGAATATTGTCATTAAGTAATCTAACATGGAGTCTGGATCCTCAAAGCAAATTCAGAAGGTAACAGACATTTTAAGGCTTGGCACAATGTGATTTTCCCCATATTCTATGGGTCCAAGCAAAGCATGAGGTCAGCCCACATTCATCTGAAGGGAATAAAATAGGACTCACCTCTTGCTGGAAGGAGTGAATCATATACCAAGAGGGAGGATTTGTTGGTGGCTGTCTTTGGAGACTACTGTAGGTGGCAACTGAAAATTACTCAACCTTTAATTTATGATTAACTCCTATCAGCCCAAATCCCTCATAAAGCTGTGTTGGTCAGCTTTCTTTTGCTGAGACAAAACACCCAACACCTGCAATTTAAAGAAGGAAAGGTTTCATTTGGCTGATGGTTTCAGAAGTTTCAGTTTGTGATCAACTGGCTCCAAGGTCAAAAAACATCAAAGTAGAAGGGCAGGATGGAGCACAGCGGCTCAATTCATGGTAGCTGGGAAGCAGAGCAGGAGAACAGTACTAATCCAAGATGGAAGGCATGGAAGTTCTCTAGAGACTCTGGTTTGAGTCTGTGCTGAAAGATTAAAGAAACTGGAATCTGATGTCCACGGTTGACAATAGTAAAAGATACACCTGCTCAAGCAAAATGGAGGTTTTCAAAGACTTATTTCTGCCCTCTTCCTCTTTGCTTCCATCCAGGCAGCAAGCCTATTGGAATGGTACCTCCCACAATCAGGTGCCTCCCACAATCCCTCAGTTTGGGGCCTACATGTCAGTGATCTCTGGAAACACCCCATAGACACACCTAGAAGTGTGCTTTACTAATTTGCTAGGTTTTTCTAATCTAGTCAAGTTGACAATCATGATTAATGATCACAGAAGAGACCATTTTCATTCTTACAGTTAAAAAGATAACTCTGATGAAAATTCTGACATGATGGATAACAAACTTCAGACATGATATCAAGGCTTTCCCATTTTTTTTTTACAGAATGCTTGCCATGCATATTATCTATGGACAATGTTAATTTTATTTTTCAGTTATTAAAAAACTATTATAAATGGAGAGTCGAATGTCCAGAATTAAGTGCGGATCTACACCCTAGAAGTATTCTTGGTCTTTTGAAGGCTGGGTACCATGGAGTTCTAGGATCCAGGGATCCCACTGGTAGCAGAGTTCTTATTTACAGAATCGGTGAGTCATACACAGCCCTCACCTACTTTCCTTTTCCTCCTCCTCCTCTGTCTTCTCTCCTCTTTCCTCCTGTTTTCCCTTTACTGCTGTACTGAAAGCTTCAATGTGTCCATCTTTAAGAATTTAGGATTTAAGTTTTTAGGATTTACCTTAGTTTTAATTTAGGCCTTAATATTTCTTAAATATAACAAAATTTTGGCAGTTGTGAGAAAATTAACAAACTGGTGAAACTGGTCAAAGTCCTACTTCCCCACACTGTAAACTGTATGAAAGAAAAGAAAAGTGAAGAAAAGAAATGGTGGGGAAAAGTGAGAAGGATCAGGGTAAAGCATCTGAAAAGTTCTTAATAGGAATTATAAAAAAGAATTCTGAAAAATAAAAGCTCCAGGAGGCCATAGATTTTTATATGTCATGTGCACTGATACATCCCAAGCACTGATCACAGGGTCTGGTACATGGAAGGTGCTTGTTTAACATTTGTGGAATGAGTAAGTGTGTGACTTATTCAGTAACACCCAATGTGAAGAACAAGGTGCTCACTCTCTTGGATGGAAGACAGTGCAACAGGGTACTCAGGGCCCCATGGAGATTGTTGCAGACACCGCAAGGCATTAGCTCCTTTTCCTTTTCACTGATTCTCCTTTCGTTTTTAGGTGTTCCTATTGTTCTTTGTAGGTTGATATCTTATCTGTTTAGCTGCTATAACGGAAATCCCATAGTCTGGGTCCTTTATAGAAACAGAAAGTAAGCTCTCATAATTCCTGAGGCTGGGAACTCCTAGGTCAGAGAATCAGCAGGTTTGGTTCTAATGAGGGCATTTGCTGGTTCATAAATAGATATCCCATTCAAACCTCAAAAGAGGAAGAGGCAAAGGGTCTCTTCTGGATCTCTTTTATAAGGGCACTGATCCTATTTATGAGGACCACACCCTCATGGCCTAATCACAGATCAAAGGCCACCTCCTAATACCGTTTCCTTGGGAGTTAGGATTTCAGCCTATGAATTTTGAGAGGGGACACATATGTTCAGACCTTGGTACTTGGTGACCTATAACTTCTGCTACTTCTTTAGTTCTGTTTGTGGTTAAAAATCCTGGGTAAAGGAGAAGAATTTTCACTGTTCCTAGCAACCTCTTATAGCCCAGTTATAACTCAGGCCAGGACACAGACAATCAACATTTCATGAAAATTGTAATTTTATGTAAACTTCTACTTTTTCTGAGTTAAGTTCTTACTGTGCTGCTGAAGCTAGGCCCAAATGATGCCCTCACATCAGCCTCCCAAATAGCTAGGACCAAAGGTACATAGTTCCTTGCCCTGCTGACATCTACATCTTTAAATAGTTAAAGTACTTATATATTAATGTTTGCCAGCTGCCACAAGACAAAATCCCTGCCTTTAACTGCTGCTCTCTTGCAAGAAGATCCTATATTTATTCCTTGAAAGTATATTAAATGCTTAAGTAGAATGATTTTGCCTGAGGTTATATGTTAAAAAAACCTGGGTTAATCATGGGGTCATCACCTGTAAAACAGACATCATCATGATCTTTCCGTTCTTTTATCCACTAGTGTCAGAAGAGATTGAATAAGTCCTGGGAAATGAAGTGCCCTGAACTATTTAGGGATAGGGTTTCCAGTGTCTACATTTTATTTAGAAAAAAACCTATATATTATAAAAATATAGAGTACTCAGTTACATATGAATTTAAGACAACAATTTTTTAGTATGTGTGAGGCATTCTTAAGCTAATAAATTACATCTTGTTTATGTGAAATTCATCTTTGACTTGGTGATTTTATCTGGCAACTCTACTTAGGATCCCAAGAACACAATACTGAAACCTTCAGCTGGTTCTTCTTGCAAGTCTCTAGGCTCTACTGTGCTCCAACTGGGGCAGGTAAAGAAAGAAGTAACAGCCTGATAGTGCGAAAACAGATGTATTATTTTGATCATAAAAATTTTGAAAATGAGCCAATAGGTGTATTTTCTAGCCTGGGTCTCTTATAGCATATTAATTTAAAATGTGTTGTTTGACTCATATGTATTTTAAAATCATGAACACATAGAGGTTCAGTGAGGATCAGAGCAGAAAGGTATTTAGCAAATCTTCCCTGTGTTATGTTATTGTAGGATGAAACTAAAAATTAGGAAGAGTTTTATGACTGGAATAAAAAGGATAGGCTAAATAAAGATTATAAATATTCTAAACT